CAAGTCAAAGTCCAGACCTGAATCCAATCGAGAATCTGTGGAAAGAACTGACAACTGCTGTTCACAAACGCTCTCCATCCAATCTCACTGAGCTCGAGCTGTTTTGCAAGGCGGAATGGGCAAAAATTTCAGTCTCTCGATGTGCAAAACTGATAGAGACATACCCCAAGCGACTTACAGCTGTAATCGCAGCAAAAGGTGGCGCTACAAAGTATTAACTTAAGGGGGCTGAATAATTTTGCACGCCCAATTTTTCAGTTTTTTATTTGTTAAAAAAGGACGAGCAAGAGAGCCGGAAGCAGGAGAGACACAGGAACCAGAAGATGAGCAGGAGAGCCGGCAACACGGTGGACCCAGAAGACCAGCAGGTAAGCCGTCAACAGGGTGGACCCAGAAGACGAGCAGGTGAGCCGGCAACAGGACGTTAGGTAAGCTGGGATACGTAGCACTGGCAATCAGGGAACAGAAGGATGAAGAGCAGAGGACTTACGCACTTAACCAAAAGAACGGCGAGCTTGCTGACTGACCAGACGCAGAATAATCAGAGCTCCCGAAATGCGGAAACAAACAGGAACAGGACGGTAAGCTCAGGACATGAACACATAATGCTAACTGGGTAATGTATCTTAGCATAAACGTAAGGTAAAAACCAGCAGCAAATGAACGGAAAACAGGCGTATATGTACTGGACCGGACTGGGAGATAATGAGCAGCATGAGTGGTAGAACAGCGGGGAACAATGAGTAACAGGTGAGTGGAATGATGACTGATAGTGGTGACAGAGTAGTGGGGAGAGAACAGGTAAACAGAAACAGAAACACGGGAAGCCGAGCCACGTGGCATCACAACGGTGTCCTCATGTTCTTTTCCGTGTTTTTATGAAGTCCTGTTCTTATGTGTCTGTTCTTATGGTGTTATGTTGGTTGTTCTCTATTGCTGCTGTAACACAAAAGAGAAAAGATAAAAGCCGAATCAACTAAAATATCATATTACCATGATCCTCAAACAATCAGCATGCAAAAACATGAACACAATAAACATAAATGCTAACTGAGCTAGCAAGAAGCCACATTTCAATTATTTCAGGTAAATTGTCTTATAAAGATAATTGCTCATAGTCTGGAAGAGTGAAGGCCAGCGTGCACTGTAACAGTGATTAATTCAACAATTCACATTCAACTCTGCATTATGTATTTTCTTACCATGGTCGATCCAGGAGCCCCAGCTATTTTACTGTCTTTAACTGTAAGAGGACACCACTTGTCCCTCCTCTGATCAAACTGTCCATATACTTCACCTGTTCCTTACAGTACAGTAATTTATGCAATGAAACTTTGTCCCTATTCAGCTAACATTGTAAGAAAGTCATGAAGCAAACAATCAGTCTCATAGTCCAGTACACACCATATTCTCAATATACTGGAAGACAGTACATGAGATCTTACCTGCCAATTTCCTCATGTAATCCTGCAGAATTTTATTAAACATATGAGAACAGCGGCACTCTGAAAGATGCAGAACATAGGTCAGTCATATTGAACCACTTGACCTCGGGTGGAACATCCAACAACAGTGCGTGTAAATTTGGAACTTCAGTTTAAAATGCACGACAGCCTCAAATAAAGACCCATGGGATTTAACATACTGCTTAGATAATGTAGAGAATGTACCACTTGATACTTACGTTTGTCCACTTTCATTACTGGCAAGATTGAAGTATTACTGCATAAATTTTTGCTGTATAATCATCGAGCCTATATGTTTTAGCCCATAGTCTACTTTTACCACAAAACGTGAAAAGCTGTTTTCCCTTTTTTCTCTTTTTATTACAGCTACCTACTTCTCTATCACTGTAAGAGAAAATTATATTTGAACCTCCTGTTTCTTAAACCAAATATGTGACTGTACTTTAAACTCAATTTTAAAATATTGAAGAGTGCAGTAAATTTGACAGACAGGAAGTGATGCCTCCTGACAAATCATCATTAATAAGTTCATTCACATTATAGCTAAATTTGTGAAGTTGTTATCCACATCCAGACCAATACACCATGGCCTCGGCTTTTCTCTTCCTTTGCCCCCACAGTCATTTGGTTTTGTGCAGCCAGAAACACAATGTCACATTCCAGACACCACACCAGCACTTGCAGTTCAGCAGTCTTTTCCTCTGGAACTGCAGAAAATAGAGTTTGAAAAAGTCAGCATGACTCACACTGTCTTTATTGTTGTCCCAGTGATGAATACTTAAGAGGTGGGACCTCGCCCTTTGTTCATAGGTCCCCATGCCCCAGGGTTGCCCTGTTGACCCTGGGCCAGTCTGCCATGAGACCACTTGGGACATCTGTCTATCACATGCCCCCACTTCCCACAGTGGAAGCCCCTTATTCTTTGGCCTGCAGGAAACCTTCTTGTCCTCTGAGGCCTTCCAGCCCACCCCCCTGGTTGTGTGTATTTATCAGCTGGGGGTTGGTGACAGCAGGCACTGAAGATGGAGGGGGTCCAGCTGGCTCAATAGGAGTCACAAGCACAGGCACCTTTTTCTTCCATCTTTTTTCAGCTGGGGAACGAAGCACCCCTTCACGTTGGTGTGACATTGGGGTTACAGAATGGGGGAGTTTGGGTGTAGGTATGGAGCCATATCCTTTGTCTGAGGCTAGGAGAAAATCGTTGGTGACTTTCACCAATGCAGTTTTACTATGATGGACTCTAAATCCTGACTGAAAAACCTCAAACAAATCATTCTTGTGCAAGTGGTCATATAACTGCTTTGCAACAGCTTTTTCAAGGATTTTGGAAATAAATGGGAGATTGGATATTGGTCTATAATTAGCTAGGACCTGGGTCAAGAGTAAGCTTTTTGAGTAGAGGTTTAATTACAGCAACCTTAAAAGCCTGTGGAACATAACCTGTTAATAGAAAGAGGTTAGTCAGATCTAGTATGGATGTGTTGATTACGAGAAAGACGTCTTTGAGCAGCCTGGTTGGGATGGGGTCCAGGAGACGTGTTGATGATTTAGATGAAGCAAATGTTGAGGTCAACTCAGAAAGATCTATGGGAGAGAAGTAGTCCAAGTATAAATGAGGTCTTACAGATGTTTCTAAAGCCATTGTAGTAAATGGCACATCCGTGAGAGCTGTGGTCCGACCAATTTTTTCTCTAATAGTTGTGATTTTATTTGTAAAGAAGCTCATGAAGTCATTGCTGCTGAGATCTAAGGGAATGTTAAGATCAACAGCACTGTGGCTCTTTGTCAGCCGGGCTACAATTCTGAAAGGAAACCTGGGGTTGTTTTTATTTTCCTCTATTAGTGATGAATAAAATGTAGTTCTGGCACTACGAAGGGCTTTTTTTTTTTACAGTAGTTTACCTGTGGTTTGCTGTGGAACGGTGCCAGGCCAAAACATCAGTACTAAGAATAAATCATTTTTTTATTCGAGTAATGCAATGTAATGTCACTTTCGGCTTTTCCCGTTTAGGGGTCGCCACAGCGAATCGTCACACTGACGACTCACATGTTGACATTTGGCACGTGTTTTATGCCAGATGCCCTTGCTGACGCAACCCTGATTCAAACCCGGGCTGCAGCGGCAAAAGCGCTGCGCCTTAACCACTAGCCTTTTTATTGGAGTAATGTCCTCTTTTTTGTTATTTGACACACATATTCTTATTTAACATTTTGTTTTATCTATTTTTCCTACATCATCTTGTATAACATTTCATTTTATTTATTTTTTCACAGGCTGTCATTTAACATTTTAGCATTTAAGTAGACCTTTAAGTGTTAGTTCACGCTGATGCAGGTCAATAAAAATCACACTATAAATACTGTATTTTTACATGTTATTTGTGTATTCACTTCAGTTCAATTCAGTTTGACACGATTAAGCATTTTCTGAAGCGTAACACTTTGTGTAAGTAGGAAAAATATTTTTTATTTTGTAGCTTGCACCTCTCAGGTATACTAACAACGAGAGAGTAATAAAAGGCACTACCTCTCAAACTGACGTGTCAAGTGATGATGTACAACCTTTAAGCCAGGCCCCCTTTTAAACACCTGACTTCCCTCTGGGTCCAATGCTGACCCTGCTGCTGCTGTAGATTTAAATGTTCCATCTGGTGGGAAAGAAGAAAAAATACCTGTTATGTTATGTTGAGAAAATGTGACAGGGTGTCATAGATATGTAAGTAATGAGTCATACAGAAAGAATAAATCAGGAAGAAAAGACCCGTGAAACAGACAGCTGCAGAATAGAGACAGAAAAAAGGGTTGCTGTCCCTAACAAAGAGGCACAAATCATGTCAAAATAGGCACTGGACCACCATTAAGAACTGAAAATGTAAAATTAGCATACATTGGTTAGTGACATGTCTATAAAGGTTTAAAATGGTGTGGATTCACTATCTACCCCATTCTTTATTTCTTAACTTGTATCTATATGGTTTTAGAGCATTATGTTATATATTACTTTACACATGCAAAATTTAAATCTTAAATCCTATCTGTGGGGTGAAACATGATTTTCACAGCTGCCTTTCCCTATGCTTAAAGTGCCGATTGCATGCTCATTTTTCTCATTTCCAGCCATTTAATATTTAATCTTTGGTATCGCTAGATTATCTTTGCACCCCTCATAACTCCAAATAGTCTGTAATTATTTCAGAACAATAAAACCAGAGAGCCTACAGGAAACTGAGTATTATCATTTGCAGTTTCGAAATTCTTGGGGTGAGATTATATACATGTGTTTTGTCTCTGTGTTCTCTCTTGTAGCTTTGACAGCCAGTGAGAATGATGGGAGTCTCCTCATAGAGCAGTACGCACCCTGTCCTTTCTGTGCCTCACTGCACCAACAGAAGCAGGCCAAGCTCCTAGCCAGCCAGCCCAGCCTGGTTGAAGGAGAACGTCATGAAGGAGAAGAGGGGGTTCATTACTTTAACATGGAGGACTGTGTACTGGCTGCAGCAGAGAAGGACCACATCAGTTGTCCTCATCATCCTCACCAACCAGTCCCCCTTCAGGAGCTGGTCCCAGAACTCTTCATGACTGACTTCCCCAAACGGTAATCTCTTACCATTTAAGGGACCATTTCATTGTACCTTTGGCAGGGCTGCACATGTGGCCAAATATGTGAAATTAAACCTAATCATGGCAAATGATCATAATCTAATCAAGATCTGGTTTATTTTCATGCATATTAAAATTCAAATTTTATTTGTATAGCGCCAAATCAAACAAACAAACAAAGGTCGTCTCATGACACTTTACAAAGTCACCTTACTATTGTCACTATTATTATAGAGGAAAACCCAACAAATCCCCCTTGAGCAGCACTTGGCGACAGCGGGGAGGAAAAACTCCCTTTAATGGAAATAACCTGCTACAGACCCCGGCTCTTGGTGGGTGGCCTTCTGCCTCGACCGCTTAGGGTGAGTGGATAGAGGAGAGAGAAGAGAGGAAAAGCAACAAGACACAACAAACAACTGGTCAGGTTGATGTGGCCGGTGCCTGCTCATCAGAAGCGTATTCAAAATAAACAACTAAACCTCTTAGATTTAAATGGGTTCAGAGCAGGAAGTGGTGATAATAAGCCATGAATTTAAAGACTTACTGAGAAATTGAGACAAGATGGCGCTACAGATGGCTGTCTTGGCTGTGGTCTCTTTCGTGTGTTTACTGTTTTTTCTCATTTTCTCAGTCTTCAGCAACCCATCTTAGATTATTTTTACCAGAGAAGAGCTTCTAAACATTGGGAGCCTCACTCCAAATATTTTCTCTCCATTTTTAACTAGCACAAAAAGGTGTATGGACATTTGGAGGGGCAACAGCCCTCTATCTGACCTGGAGGAAATGCTGGTGATGCAAGAGACCAGGCACCCTGGTTAAGTTGCAACAAATAGGCACCCGGATGCCACTCCCATTTATCTATCCAGTAAATCCCTGCTCTCTACCCAACAGAATGGACCAACTCCTTCTCGTCAACCAGACTAACTCTCACTTCTCGCTGCTTTATGCTTCACGGAGACTTGCCTTAGCAACTCTTGGATGGCACAATACAAATACCGGAGTTCCAGTTATACAGAGCAGATCGTGAAGTGAAGTTGTTCAGGAAAATGAGAGGAGGCTGAATCTGCTTCTACATAAATGAAGTTTGGTGTAAAGGTGTCACCATGTCAGAAAGATCCTGCAACACAGACTTAGAGGCCCTATTCATTAACTGCAGACTGTTTTATTCACCGAGGGAGTTCTCCTCTGGTCAGCATATATATTCCACCACATGTCTGAGCTACAAATGCACTACTGCATCTGGCTGACCAGATAACTGGAGTGGATCTGAAACATCCCAACCTCCTACTCATTGGACTTTAATAGAACAAACCTCACCTACAAACTGCCCAAATACAGCATGTCAGGTATTCCACCAGTGACAAAAACACAATAGACCACCTCAGTTCCCCAGGGACCTGTACACTGATCCTATTTGTGGACTTCAAATAAGAGTTCATCACCATCACCCTAGACATCCTGCACTCCTCACTGACCCAGCTCACTGTGCCTGCCTACACCTGTCAATGGATCTCCAGCTTTCTGACAGACAGGAAGCATGAATGAAGCTGGGGAAGCCCACATCCAGCAACCAGACAATCAGCACAGGTGCCCCCTACGGATGTGTACTCTCCCTGCTGCTTTTCTCCCTCTACACCAATGACTGCACCTCAGGGCACCCCTCTGTTAAACTCCTGAAATTCACAGACAACGCAACAGTCATTGGTCTCATCTGAGACTGTGACGAGTCTGTGTACAGATGAGAGGTTGAACAGCTGGCCCTGTGGTGTGTAGCCAAACACACTCAAAACTGTGGAATTGATAGTGGACTTTAGGAGGAGCCCCCACCACCACCATACTCAGCAGCACTGTATCAGCACTAGAGTCCTTTAAGTTCCTGGGCTCCACTGTATCCCAGGACCTGAAGTGGACATCCAACATCAGCACCATCATCAAGAAGGCACAGCAGAGGATGTGCTTCCTGCTCCATCTCAGGAAGCTCAACCTGCCCCAGGAGCTGCTGATACAGTTCTACTGAGGAATCATCGAGTCTGTTCTTTGCACCCCCATCACTGTCTGGTTTGGCTCAGCAACCAAACAGGACAGGAACAGACTCCAGCGGACAGTCAGGACTGCAGAAAGAATCATCGGTGCCAGCCAGCCCTCCATGGACAACCTGTACACCTCACGGGACAAAAGGAGGGCGGAGAGGATCACTGCAGACCCCTCACATCCTGGATACAAACTGTTTGAACTCCTCCCCTCTGACAGTGTTACAAGTCACTGTGCATGAAGACAACCAGGCACAGGGACAGTTTCTTCGCCCGGGCTATCACTGTAATGAACACTTAACCCATGACAGTATTACAGAACGACAACCCTCGCAGATTAATCATAAAACCCAGTAAAAAAGTTACTCGGTGAGGCAAACAGTACGCCTGCCTCAAGGCAGAGGGTGCTTGTGAGCCCACAGATTCTTGCGCTACCTACAATGTTTATATTTCCTTTACAACCCGCCTTAGCAAAATGGAAGATTACATTTCCAAGATGAGAAAATTCGCAAAGCTGGACTTTCAATCAAAACAAGAGGTAATAACTAAAGGAAGACCATCGCCGGAGCTGAAAGGTTTGCTTCAGACCACGGGAAAGAACCTTACCCATTCTTTTCAAATGGAGTGGTACACCCAAAAAACTTTTATTATTTCAAGTTTGAAATAAGCTCAATTGGAATAAATTTTAACCTCAAATGAAATATGCGTCACATGCTTGTGTGAAGAATGCTGGTATGAGATATAAAACATAACGCATTGTCTGTTGTCAATTACATGATGAATAAAATACTGTTTTGGGTTCATTTGTATTTGTAAATCTGAGTCTAAAAGAGTCAGTGCCTCACCAGCTGTCAACGTCACCGCACGTCACTGTACCCAACGGCTGCAATGATGGAAGAAAAAAACAAACGCTAAGGAAAACGGTGTCAGTTGTAGTGTTATTTAAGAAACATGATTCGTTATCTTCCAAACGCTTGTGACATTAAAGTTATAGTACAAAAGGGGTACCTAGAGCATGCGCGATAGACGGGCGGAAAAATAAAGGCGGTAAATTTGAAAAATGGCCGAAGGTAGTGGTATGTCGGTCAGGAATGAAATCTTTTTTCTTAATGCCAATCTTTACTAAAGACTAGCTAAAACTGTTACCTGGATGCAGCTTTATTTATTTATTTTTTTTGTTTTACACATTTTCGGTTATATTTTGCTCTTTTTAGTGAGTCGAGCCAACCGGCTCTCTTAAAAGAGCCAGAATTCCCTTCACCAGCCGACAGTCAATGCAACCGATAGGGAGCACTTTTCTTTAGCAGTCATTGCCAAATTGTTGTACCCTGATTTGTTTCATGTAATGCACTTACATTGTACGTTTAAGGCAACGATCATGTTTCTAAGGAAAAAAAAAACCCACAAAATGATACTTACTTTAACACTGCTGCTATCCAGAGTCTTCTGATGGGAAAAAAAAAAACCAATCAGTTCCGCCCCTCCTTCTGACTGACACATCAAGAGCCCCTTCTTCTGACCAACCAAGAACCAATTAGTCCCTCCCATCCTTCTGAGTGACACACAAATTTTTATGGTCTAAAAAAAACCCACAACAACTGTGTTGAGATTTTTGCTGGAGTGAAGAGAGTGGTTTGGTCAGACATGATCACGTAGAAAAGAAAAACATATTGTACACAGAATTAATAGGAAATTAGTAGAGATCCTCTCCAGAGAACATCGCTGGTTTGAGAGAGGAGTTAAGGAAGCTATTTTTGTAAAAATAGAACACCCCTCACTAAATAGGGGTGATGAACTAAGACACAATTTGTCATCCATCTACAATCCTGTTTTGAGATCTCTGCCCAAAACATGCCCACCAGGACAATAGGCGTTGGTCCGCAGGGGAGGATTCAAAGAAAGGTAACGACTCTCACCGATACTGGGCTATAATGACTCAGTCGTTAAGGGATATTGTTGGCCTTCAAAGGACTGAAACACAACACCACCAAGGGGAATAAATATCTCCGGCTCAACACCAGTCAGTCAGAACTGATGAAGCCTCTTGGATGAGTATTCTCTGCTCTGAAACACTTGGGGCATGTCGGATGAACACATACAGTGCCTTGCGAAAGTATTCGGCCCCCTTGAACTTTGCGACCTTTTGCCACATTTCAGGCTTCAAACATAAAGATATAAAACTGTCATTTTTTGTGAAGAATCAACAACAAGTGGGACACAATCATGAAGTGGAACGAAATTTATTGGATATTTCAAACTTTTTTAACAAATAAAAAACTGAAAAATTGGCCGTGCAAAATTATTCAGCCCCCTTAAGTTAATACTTTGTAGCGCCACCTTTTGCTGCGATTACAGCTGTAAGTCACTTGGGGTATGTCTCTATCAGTTTTGCACATCGAGAGACGGAAATTTTTGCCCATTCCTCCTTGCAAAACAGCTCGAGCTCAGTGAGGTTGGATGGAGAGCGTTTGTGAACAGCAGTTTTCAGTTCTTTCCACAGATTCTCGATTGGATTCAGGTCTGGACTTTGACTTGGCCATTCTAACACCTGGATATGTTTATTTGTGAACCATTCCATTGTAGATTTTGCTTTATGTTTTGGATCATTGTCTTGTTGGAAGACAAATCTCCGTCCCAGTCTCAGGTCTTTTGCAGACTCCATCAGGTTTCCTTCCAGAATGGTCCTGTATTTGGCTCCATCCATCTTCCCATCAATTTTAACCATTTTCCCTGTCCCTGCTGAAGAAAAGCAGGCCCAAATCATGATGCTGCCACCACCATGTTTGACAGTGGGGATGGTGTGTTCAGGGTGATGAGCTGTGTTGCTTTTACGCCAAACATAACGTTTTGCATTGTTGCCAAAAAGTTTGATTTTGGTTTCATCTGACCAGAGCACCTTCTTCCACATGTTTGGTGTGTCTCCCAGGTGGCTTGTGGCAAACTTTAAACGACACTTTTTATGGATATCTTTAAGAAATGGCTTTCTTCTTGCCACTCTTCCATAAAGGCCAGCTTTGTGCAGTATACGACTGATTGTTGTCCTATGGACAGAGTCTCCGACCTCAGCTGTAGATCTCTGCAGTTAATCCCGAGTGATCATGGGCCTCTTGGCTGCATCTCTGATCAGTCTTCTCCTTGTATGAGCTGAAAGTTTAGAGGGACGGTCAGGTCTTGGTAGATTTGCAGTGGTCTGATACTCCTTCCATTTCAATCTTATCGCTTGCACAGTGCTCCTTGGGATGTTTAAAGCTTGGGAAATCTTTTTGTATCCAAATCCGGCTTTAAACTTCTGCACAACAGTATCTCGGACCTGCCTGGTGTGTTCTTTGTTCTTCATGATGCTCTCTGCGCTTTAAACGGACCTCTGAGACTATCACAGTGCAGGTGCATTTATATGGAGACTTGATTCCACACAGGTGGATTCTATTTATCATCCTTTGTCATTTAGGTCAACATTGGATCATTCAGAGATCCTCACTGAACTTCTGGAGAGAGTTTGCTGCACTGAAAGTAAAGGGGCTGAATAATTTTGCACGCCCAATTTTTCAGTTTTTTATTTGTTAAAAAAGTTTGAAATATCCAATAAATTTCGTTCCACTTCATGATTGTGTCCCACTTGTTGTTGATTCTTCACAAAAAATGACAGTTTTATATCTTTATGTTTGAAGCCTGAAATGTGGCAAAAGGTCGCAAAGTTCAAGGGGGCCGAATACTTTCGCAAGGCACTGTACCTATAGTAAGTGTAGTAACTCATGATCAAACAGCAGAACTGGTGCTAATGCACTGGGGCTTTACAAGAGCACTTTATCAAAGACCACTGGGTGAGAAATGGTTTTGGTGTTTATACACCCCTTCTCTATTGTGTTGGTGTTTGAACGAGCGTGGGCAGTGCTCAGTTCCTATACACACACACACACAGAGCATACAGCTGCTATCGCAGCTGTGGGGGCTGGGAGTACAGGAGAAGTGAAGGTGAAACCTTTGGCTGAAGTTTGCAATACCTATGCTCATTACTGTATGTGCAATAAAATTGTCATGAGTAAAAAGCTAGTAGGAGTATTTAAAGCACCTTCTAAACAAGCATAAACTTGCTTGGTCAGTGTTTTGCCCAAGGACACTTCGACACGTGGACTGCCGGCACCGAGATTCGAACCGTCAATCTTCTGGTTGGGAGATGACTGCGCTGCCCAACGCGCCACTGTCACCTCCCCAGTCTTTGCTCACTCTCACGAGTGCCCCCTCAAAACAAATGTGAGCATAGAGCTCTGTGTGCTCTAGGATTTATAACATTACAGTGTTGGGGGGTGGCATTACGTTAAGGACACTCCAGTGTGTCATCAAGCCATGCTTTGTGCCCCAGCCAGAAATTTCTGAGCTCCAAAATGATGAAATGGCTCTTTTTCACATTTTTAGCAACTATTTTCTGACATGTACAATGTGTTTAGAAACAAATCACTGATTTGGCTTTACCCTGACTTTAATTCTACCCTTAACCTTCAAACCAACACTTAACCTTCTGATAGCCCCTTGAACTAGTGAGGATCAGTCAAAATGTTTTCACAGTGATGTCAACAAAAAGATGCGCGCACACACACACACACACACACACACACACACGACAGTCAGCAGCCCTCCAGGATCTTGGCTCCTCACAAAAATAGTCACAAGGGTACATACACACACAATGAACAACTGAAACTGTGTGTACAGGATGTGAGGTTGGAGGTCATGGAGGTTGTGTGGGTGGTAAGTTACACAAGCATATCTCTGTCTCTGTAAAACAGCACAGACCCATGGAAATGTTTGCTGCAACCTTTAAACAGGCTCTAAATATTTATGCAATTGCAAATGCATTATACTCAAGCTCTTAGAGAATGTAAGATGGCTGTAGGAATAAACATGAGTGTCATCAACTAACATCATCCATTTTTACAGCTGGAGGGTTGGTTAATACAGTTAGGGTTAGACTACTATTTTTTTTTTTTAATCTTTTTTTATTATAGCTTTTTCCTTCAATTCTGTCAATTCTTACTGTAACCAAAGGTCACAGTAGTTTAGTTAACCACTGAAACGTGCATCAATGTTGTTACTAACATTACATGGATGGCTAAATAAATGTCAAGCGCAGACTGACTTAATGTGTATTTACAGTCCTTCATAGACACACTCAAGTCATGCTGTTAACAAACAAACAAACAAACCAACACCAGCAAAACCATAACCCCTGCTTTGGTGGAGGTAATTAATATTTATGACTACTCGGCAAACTCTATTTGTTGATGAAGACCATGAGGTCCACATAAAAATGACAAAATTACAACCTAAATTTGGCAGAATTGTGACCAATCATGTGATGCCAACTTTGTGTACATATTGGTACAGACACAATTCTGTCAGTTCTCAAAAAGTAGTATGCAGTGAGTAAGTTGATGTAATTTAATAATGTACATAGTTGAACAGATTGCAGTAAGGTTAAAACAAACATTTAAAATATTAAATTTATTAAACCATGGCTTGATCCGATCTGGAGCACTGCTGAAGTTATGCAGATTTTGTCTAGCCTTAAACGAAACCATTTCCAGAGTCAACATTAAATTATGTTACCATTCAGAGCGGAGACCACCATCTTGATTGGTTTGAGTCCCTGTAGTTGAAGCAGCACATCTAAGTTGGTTCCAACCATCTGGTCCATGCTTCCCCATATTTAGTATGGACTGCTACATGATGACCTGAGAGGTTTATAGACATGACAACTGAGAAAAATAATATCAGTTTCATCTGGGGCGGCTGTGGCTCAGGAGATAGAGCGGGTTGTTTCCTAACTGGAGGATTAGTGGTTTGATTCCCGGCTTATCCAGTCAACATGTTGAAGTGTCCTTGAGAAAAACACTGAACCCCCAATTGCTCCTGAGTGTGAGCATTTGAGAGTGCGAATGGGTGGATGGCCAGGTGGTGTGAAAGCGCGCTTTGATTGTGCTGTAAAGTGTAGAAAAGAAAGTTTAAGACCATCTGTGTCCAGTATGGAAATAGCCCTGAGACATGTTAAGCTTGTTGATACATTTAGAAAGTAGTCACTGCAACCCAGCAGAAGTTACTTTCACATCACTAACATTGTAAAACCACTTCTTGTTGTCTGAGTAGAAAGAAGCTTCACAATGAGCACAGCATCAGACTAAACAAAGAATGAGATCACAATCAAAATCTACTAAGCATTCAGGTATATCAGAAAAACCAACTCTGTCCAAATGTTAGTCTTACTGCATGGTGGTATCTAAATGATCAGATGGTGGCTGTCAGTCTTTTTCCACTGAATTTGCTTCGGGTGTGTATGCAGGTTGTATCCTAACTCCTAAAGTCGGTCGAAGCTCTGTGTCTCTGATCTCCAACACTGGTGAGGCAGTGGAGCAGAAGGGGAGCTGTTACTTCTTTTGAAACTGTGTGGCCTGCAGTAAATATGAATCAGTCAGAAATGGCTGATCACAAAAGAAACACAACCAAGTATCTTACAATAGAGCCAGGGCCATGGTTCATTGTTCTCTGTCCTTATTTCTGCATAAAAAGAAGCATCTTCATATAACTTATGCAGAGCACTGTAAAGAGAGAGCGAGAGAGGATTTGGACTGCACTTGAGTTTAAATGAAACACCGTAATAGTGAGTCTGTGAGTGGAATTCAGGTGGAGGATTGCAGGAAACTGAGTCCATGGATGCCAGAGCCCCTACATCTACCTGCATTACCTAACGTCTACTGACCTTCAGCTGCAGGACAGCCCCTCTGACATTGCTCATGTTGTAGGGACATACAGTAAATCTGTTTACACATTCAAATTGTGGGTACTCTGTGTTCTTATTTGACTTTGTTTATGGTTAGTGTAAGGTTAAGCCTTAATTATTGGTTAAGGTTAATGTTGGGGTGAATCTCCAGGAAATGAATGTAAATCAAAGTAATGTCAGCTGAAGTGATTTCAACATGGCTGTGTGTTTAGACTCTTTCTGGAGAAGGACCTGCTGGAGTACTCTGAGGAGGGGAATAACATCCTCGGCCAGGGGGGCAGTGGAACCATCATCTACCAAGCAAGATATCGTGAGCAGCCTGTGGCTATCAAACGCTTCCACTTTAGGAAATGTCGACAGCAGATGGTCAGTGGCGACACAGGTACGGGGACACGTTCTTTTTTTTAGTGATTTGCATCTGTTTTTAGTTCATATTGTTTAGTGGGCTGTTGAAATCTGACACTAATACTTAGTGTCAGATTTCAACAGCCCACTAAACAATATTTGTTGTTGATACTGATGCAAGAATTTTTTACTTGTAAGGACAAAAAATGCTCCTGAAGAAGCATTGACTAGCGCGGTTGTGTGGCAGCCTGTTGTCATCGGTGTGTGAATGTTGTGTGCGAATGGGTGAATGGTGTATCATCTCCTGTAAAGCGCTTTGGCCAGTGCAACACACTGTGGAAAAATGCGCTATATAAATACAGTCCATTTACCATTTACCATTTAAATGAGGTGTGCTCTGCAAGCAGTATTATACAATTAATATAACTATTAATCCTACTCATAATCATAGTACACACTATACATGTTAAACTGTGTGTGCAGAGTTTTCCATAGGATATTAGTGAAATATAGTCCAGTTCTCAGTAACCTGAACTGCACTGTATCTGCTGAACATGAGATGTGGAAGGCTAGTTAGAATGCACTTTTATCAGAAGGCCTATGTCTGTCTGAGCCCTGGTCTACAATATGTTGTATCACAGTTTCTGGTTGCTTCTCTTAATGTGTGTTTTACAGCTAGAGTTGATGCAGAAATCTGGGCAGACTTATGTCAAAATAGCATATCTGCTACTGTTGGTGCTAGACACAGACCCGTCACTTTACAATCTTCTTTCTAAAGGGTAAATGGTGAATTCTAATGTAATCCTCAGATGTTCCCTCATCACCAGTAGCTCACAGTATTCAGTTATGCAGCAGAACATCTCCACATCTGCCTGACCAATTCGAATGCTATTTGGTACATTTGGTATTATTCCATGGCACTGGGAATCACAGTTAGCTGTTATCACCACCACAGTGCAGACTTACACTTAATTTGTGTGTTCACATGTGGGAAAAAAATTGGTTCACCTTGAGTGACTGAGCTCAAACCCTGGGGTTAGTAAAATGCTCAGATTCATTAAACCTCAGTGCTAATTGTTCTCCCAGTTAGTCTTTCAGTCATATCACATCAATAATTTAAGTTTATATAGAGTACTTAATATTTTTGAAGTAGGAATTCAAATATTTGTAATAGCTCATGAAAAATAAGGTGTGTCAGATAAAGTAGGATGCTGCTGTTATTTATTTTAATCAACATTTAAGTAAATAGAATTACATGTTTGATGCTCATTTAACATCATCAGTGTTCATCAATACATTGCTAAATGTAAAAATTGCAGCGCTGCACCTGACAGGTTTAGTAAATAATCAAAACAAGGTCCACACACCATCTTTTTGAGAGCTTTTAACTTAACCCCATGGTCCCTTCTAAGGCCCCCCTTCTGTCAAAAAGCAGGACATTAGGTTGGTTAGGCTTGTGGCTCTTCAAAGATGGTTTCTGTCAAATGATGTGAATGGAATAATGTGACCTTGAGACCTTGCAATGTGTTTGAAAGCCCCACAAACAGCAGTAAATGGGCCTTTAGTTGGGATTACTTTGTCAGAGGTTTTTCACCTATTTACAGACAGATGTAGCCTTAGCTAGCAAATGAAGGATGTAGACTGAGAGAAGAATGAAGACTTATTGAAGTTGGAATTGTCAGTATGAGAAGGTTTTTGACAATGAGTCAGTCGGAGCTTTTAGAACACACTTTATTTCCTGGACACAGATTTGTTATCCAGATCTCATTTTTAAATATCTTCTTGTAGCTTTTCTGCTCCCTTTCATTGTTCTCTTCATTCCTTTAGATACCATGGTGAAACATCTGCAGTCTGAAGATGCCTTTCGGAGCTTCTCTGAATTCCGCCAGGAGGCCAGTATGTTGCACTCTCTTCAGCATCCGTGCATCGTCTCTCTGGTGGGCTTCAGCATCCATCCGTTGTGCATAGCCCTGCAGTTAGCCCCCCTGGGCAGCCTCAATGCTGTACTGGAGGAGAAGCGCAAAGGCATGTAGCAAAGTGTTCATCGTGTATTTTCCCAATTGAAGTTGGTCTTAAAGCCTGTTTCTATGATAGTAAAACATGAATTTATGTTTTTTTCTTTGCAGGCAGCAGGTACATGCCCCTTGGTCACATGGTAACCTTCAGAGTTGCCTATCAGATTGCAGCAGGATTGGCATACCTTCATAGGAAGAGCATCATTTTCTGTGACCTTAAATCTGACAACATCCTGGTGTGGTCTCTGGAGGTCTGTATGTGAATTACCATAAGAAAGCCGCACATTTTTTTATTTTGTTTTTTTGACAGTATTTGAATCTGTAGTATATATGAAATAATATGTCAAAATATCAGAAGCAGTCCTGCGCTTATTTTGTTTGTTGTCCCTGTTGTTTTTTTTAAGTCCATAGATCTTTATCACAACAAAGACAGGAATTCAAAATATTAATAAAATAATAATGTAAATGAAAATATATGAACAAAGACTTTTTTAAATAAAGAAACATTCTTGCTCTTACCATGCTCAGTGATTCTTGTGTTGTCTTCCAGGTGCAGGATCCAGTCAACATTAAACTGTCTGACTATGGCATTTCTCGACAGTCCTTCCATGAGGGGGCACTTGGGGTTGAGGGCACACCAGGGTACCAAGCTCCTGAGATCCGACCAGGCATCGTATATGATGAGAAGGTACTGACCACTTCTTCTTAACCCACATCAAGTGATGTGTGCAGCATCTTTATGAATCTTGTGTCTTTAGTAGGTTGCTGGTGAGCAGCAGAGTCCATTAAGACTGGTGATCTGTATCTGATGGTCTGCACTGAAAGAAATCTGTGTATTTGTATACTGTAGCCATCTTGGCAACAGTTGCATATGAAGCGATATTGCTTCATCAGCAACATTGTATAATGTGAAAGAAATTTGAAAATACAACCAAACCAGAAAAAGATGTTTCATACAAACAGCCAAAACAATTGAAGATGTTTCATAAAACAACACAATACTACCCAAATCATATAAAGATGTTTGACAAAAACTACAAAACAGTCATAAACAGAAAAAAATGAGTTCTTAGAAGTACCTGCATATGTAAGTTAGGCTTTTTCCTTGTGTGTTACAGAGATAAACATGAACAACAAATATACCTATTTCTTACAGTGTGGACTACATTAGCTCATTCTCAACACAGATTGTGTCAAAGTTACATATGTTACACATTCCAAACAGTAAACACCACAGTGGCATTTCCCCCATTCCACCTAAACATTTCCCAGATGGTGAAAACCTACGCTGTGCGTTTGGATGTATATCATATCAAGTTATTTAACAAATATTAAATGCATCGAACTACAGACTTATGGTCCTTCATCGAAGCATACACGACTACAGACTTGATAGCAGTGGTGGAAGAAATCATTGAAAGCCAACAGATGAGCTCAGTAAATAGAAAGCACACAAGTTTCATACATTACAAACATAAAACACATACCGGCTTAAGATTTGAACTAAAAACTTAGAGTTATAAGGCTTTAGCCCTTTACATGAAGGAAATCCACTCAGTGTCAATCATGTGATTTACCCTGACCTATTGCGAACTACAGGGCAATGCCATAAGTCCGGATCAATCGTGTGGCTGTCAACGAGATGACACTGTTGGCAGTGAACAGAGTAAAACAAACACACAGCAAATGACTATCACGACCCTGTGTGTTCCAGCTTAGCAAGCTGCTGCTTTACCTCATGAGCATTAGGACTACCACTACCTGGAGGGCTGCATGAAGGATTGGGGGCGGGGGGAACTATACACTGATCAGCCATAACATTATGACCACTGTCTGTTACACTGGCACCTGTCAGTGTGGGGGGTATATTAGGCAGCAAGTGAACATTCAGTCCTCGAAGTTGATGTGTTGGAAGCAGGAGAAATGGGCAAGTGTAAGGATCTGAGTGACTTTGACAAGGGCCAAACTGTGATGGTGAGATGACTGAGTCAGAGCATTTCCCACACTGCAGGTCTTGGTGGGTGTTCTTGGTCTGCAGTGGTTAGTACCTACCAACAGTGTCTAAGGAAGGACAAATGGTGAACTGGAGACAGGGTCATGAACGCCCATGGCTCACTGATGTTGAGGTCGACCTACTGTAGTTTAAACTTTTAACTTCCATTTGTACTTTTCAAAAGATTAAAATGTATTTGAATCTTTGTTAAAATCGTTGAAAATGAGAAACACTGTACATTGGTTTCTATGAAGAGAAAGAGTCAGGGGCTTTTTTCTCTGAATTGTAGACACATCTGTGCTCTTCCTGACAGAACTGTGGAAGCAAATGGATTCACAGAAGATGAGCTGCAGAGTGACATGAGTGACAACCAACTGCCACATGGACTCCTATGTAAACAGTACTAGGCAGGTGTTTATAATGTTATGGCTGATTGGTGTATATATAAAAAGGGAATTTGCTAACTGCAGAGTTTTATGTAGCACATAAAAGCTATATACAAAATCTACAGTGGGAAGGTGTTCTAAGACTAGGCAAATTGACTTCAGGAGGCTATGACTTACATAAATATAATATAAATATACCATTCTTTTCCATAGCTACTGTGATGCCATATCATACCATAGACCTGAAGTGCACCTGGGATCAGTGATGTCACCTCAAAAGTAGTTTGTTAGCTTGTTATTGGCATTGCACTACTGTTTGTCTCTGTAGTTATTTCAGGAATTCCCACAGCCTCCCCCCACCCCACCCCCGATTACTGTCTGCCAAGGTTCAGAGATGGGAATCCACACTGGTATTTTGGTCTTCAGACAGGGGTTTCAAGGATGAGCTGAATGAAGAAAATATGCCAAAACTGGAGTTTATCTTTGCTTTATAAACAAAAAGTAAATGTATTTTTTATACTTAATGAGCAAAGGTGCTCTGTAGAGTCCATGATAATTGCGAATGAGGGAAATTTAAACAAGATGAATGAGTTTCAGAAGATAAAACAGACCAGGATTAGCTGGAGGTGTGGAGTAGCTCCCAATCAAACTCTTTTTCAGTGCTGTCACTATCACTCGCCTCCTCCCTGTATTCTCCTGCTGATAAGTATAGACTTACAGTTTCTTTTCAACATTCAGAACTGTTTTCAGGCATAGAAGTACTGTACTACTGTATGTTTTACATCAGTGTTTATGGCATCTTTCCTTACGATGATTACATGTAGAGTTTTCTTAGTACAAGTGTTTCCATGTTTATAAAACCCTTATTTGTGGTATTTGTGTTATTGATTATTTTGCTGTGCCCAGATGCCACCACAGTGATCATATCAGCATTATCTCTGTCTTACTATCAGTTTCAGCTACATTCCTCACATGTATTATATACAGTGCCTTGCGAAAGTATTCGGCCCCCTTGAACTTTGCGACCTTTTGCCACATTTCAGGCTTCAAACATAAAGATATAAAACTGTAATTTTTTGTGAAGAATCAACAAGTGAGACACAATCATGAAGTGGAACGAAATTTATTGGATATTTCAAACTTTTTTAACAAATAAAAAACTGAAAAATTGGGCGTGCAAAATTATTCAGCCCCCTTAAGTTAATACTTTGTAGCGCCACCTTTTGCTGCGATTACAGCTGTAAGTCGCTTGGGGTATGTCTCTAACAGTTTTGCACATCAAGAGACTGAAATTTTTGCCCATTCCGCCTTGCAAAACAGCTCGAGCTCAGTGAGATTGGATGGAGAGCGTTTGTGAACAGCAGTTTTCAGTTCTTCCCACAGATTCTCGATTGGATTCAGGTCTGGACTTTGACTTGGATGCAGCCAAGAGGCCCATGATCACTCTGGATGAACTGCAGAGATCTACAGCTGAGGTGGGAGACTCTGTCCATAGGACAACAATCAGTCGTATACTGCACAAATCTGGCCTTTATGGAAGAGTGGCAAGAAGAAAGCCATTTCTTAAAGATATCCATAAAAAGTGTAGTTTAAAGTTTGCCAAGAGCCACCTGGGAGACACACCAAACATGTGGAAGAAGGTGCTCTGGTCAGATGAAACCAAAATCGAACTTTTTGGCAACAATGCAAAACGTTATGTTTGGCGTAAAAGCAACACAGCTCATCACCCTGAACACACCATCCCCACTGTCAAACATGGTGGTGGCAGCATCATGGTTTGGGTCTGCTTTTCTTCAGCAGGGGCAGGGAAGATGGTTAAAATTGATGGGAAGATGGATGGAGCCAAATACAGGACCATTCTGGAAGGAAACCTGATGGAGTCTGCAACAGACCTGAGACTGGGACGGAGATTTGTCTTCCAACAAGGCAATGATCCAAAACATAAAGCAAAATCTACAATGGAATGGTTCACAAATAAACATATCCAGGTGTTAGAATGGCCAAGTCAAAGTCCAGACCTGAATCCAATCGTGAATCTGTGGAAAGAACTGAAAACTGCTGTTCACAAACGCTCTCCATCCAACCTCACTGAGCTCGAGCTGTTTTGCAAGGAGGCATGGGCAAAAATTTCAGTCTCTCGATGTGCAAAACTGATAGAGACATACCCCAAGCGACTTACAGCTGTAATCGCAGCAAAAGGTGGCGCTACCAAGTATTAACTTAAGGGGGCTGAATAATTTTGCACGCTCAATTTTTCAGTTTTTTATTTGTTAAAAAAGTTTGAAATATCCAATAAATTTTGTTCCACTTCATGATTGTGTCCCACTTGTTGTTGATTCTTCCCAAAAAATTACAGTTTTATATCTTTATGTTTGAAGCCTGAAATGTGGCAAAAGGTCGCAAAGTTCAAGGGGGCCGAATACTTTCGCAAGGCACTGTATAACCTTCCCAGGCCACACAGACATTTAAATCCAAGGCTGTATTTCATGGGGGAGAACACTGCACACAAATCTGACTGGAGGCCTTAGTAACTTCCTCAGATATTTCTCTGAAACCTGTCCATAATGTTTCTTAATTCTTTTCTGATTCTTTTCTCTTTATCACTGCCTGAAGGTGGACATGTTCTCCTATGGCATGGTGCTGTATGAGCTCCTGTCTGGACAAAGGCCAGCACTGGGAAACCACCAGCTTCAGATAGCAAAGAAGCTCTCTAAAGGCATCCGGCCAGTACTGGGCAGTCCAGAGGAGGTCCAGTTCCACTGCCTCCAAAGACTGCTGACTGAATGCTGGGACACTAAGCCTGAGAAGGTGAGACTCCCTGCTTTCACACAGTGTATTTTGGTCAACAGTGTGATTGATAAAGAACATGCTTCCCCTTGTTCTCTACATTGTAAGAAACAGACTGATTATCTCTGCTGCTGTCAATGTGACTAGGATAGTGATATACTGGAAACCCATAAAAAGACATTATCAGATCATAAAGGCAAACAAACTGAAGATGCGGCATCATGTGAGTCAGAAACAAAACTTGTCATATGAGATTAGGATCTTGTCATTACAAGATTTTTTCCTCATAATTATGAGATTATGCAGGATTAGGAACGCTGCAGAATTTACCTGAAAATCTTCAGGTTTTAACATACTGTATTTTTTTATATCAAAGTAATTCAGTCATAGTTGTCAGTATATCTGAATAATAATTAATAATTAATTCAGATTAGGGCTCTAGTTTCCTGCATCAGGGTGTAGCGCTAAACTTGTGTCTAAACTCCAGGAACAAAGTGAACATGGGCGTTCAAAGGTGTTTTGGAATTTTGGGGACTACAAACACAGCACACTTTGTGTGCAGCCAGAGGTTACCGGGCTATTTATGGAGGAGAGACGGGATACACTATTAGAGGGAGGAATACATGTCGAGCAGGAGGAGTCAGGGCTGGTTTTAGGTACAACCAATCAAACCAGCTCCTCTCATTCCCTTTAAAGAGCAATTATGAGAGAATAAGCCATGATTACGAGATAAAATCCTCCTTTTGTGAATGCAATGCACTTCCATAGAATTATGCTTTATTTCAGTTTTATTAGATTTAAAATTTTGTATTATTATTAACTGTTGCTTGAACACAGAGTTTTATCACATAACTAGAGAAATGCATTTCCTGTCGTAAATACATGTGGATGATGATAAGCTGAAAGATCGTCCTGAAAATGCCTGAAATCAATTGCTGAAACAGCTGAAAGATGAGAAGAAATGGCTGAAGTTCTTTGTTGAATAATCTGAAAGATGAGATGCAATAAAGTAGGAATGGCCTTGAAGAGCTGAACATTTTGATACCTGGATGGCTTTTCTAGCTGAAAGTATGCTGAACTTATTAAGATGTGAAAATAGTACAATAGGACCCCACAATGTAGGTAAAACAAGTAGGTGTGAATGTGTGTGTGAGAGAGAGGGAGGGGGAGAGAGAGACAGAGAGTGGGAGAGAGAGAAGTTATATATGGGCATGTCCCAATTGCGCTGCATTTTATGAACCACCAGATGGCACTCCAAGACTGTCATTGACTCAGCACTTTGTACTCCCATTGGCTTGTATTGCAAACAGTAAAGCTGAATCAATTAAAAAGTATAAATGTTGTAAAAAAGTTGAGTACAAGCAGGGATGTCCCTGAAGAGTTGAACAGATAAAGAACTCAATGGCCTGTATAGCTGAAAGTATGCTGGACTTATAAAGTGCCAAAAAAGGGTGGAAGATCCCAGAATAATAACTAGAGAAATGATTTCCTGTCGTAAATGCACGTGGATGCTATGTGCTGAAGGATCGCTCTGAAAATGCTGAACATTTTGACACCTGAAAGGCATATTTACCTGAAACTATGCTGAAGTAGAATTTTCCCATTAATTTGAATGGGGGGAAATTTTCAAAATAAAGCAAACTATTTCAGAAGTGTGAAGTGTATTCTGAGTCAAATGCCACGTTCACACTGCAGGCTGAAGTAGCTCAAGTCTGATCTTTTTGCCCAAATGTGACACATATCCGATAGACAGTGTGAACAGCACAAATCCGATTTTTTCAAATCCGGCCCAGGCCACTTTCATATGTGGTCCTAAATCGGATACATATCCGATGTTTTGCAATGTGACTTCAGTCTGAACGGCCATGTCGCATTTCATGCAATTTTTATGTCATTGAAATGCAACAGACGTCACAATTCTGCGCTGGAGGAGGTGAGGCCATAAGAAATATTTGTGCTCTCCTTCTTCTTGATATTCTTCTTATTATTATTTCTTTATTTCGATTGCACATTAACTGGTACATCGCTACGCACATGCTATCACGAGCCGCATCCATTTTTATTTTTGCAAACACAGTACGCTGCGTCTGACATCACATCCTCTTCTGCGCATGCGGGTCACCTCAGGGCCGTATACCGTTCACAGGAGACAGATGGCAGTCGCATTTAAATGACAGTGTGAACAACAGCACAAAAAAATCTGATTTCGGCAAAAAGTTCGATCTGAGCATTAAGACCTGCATTGTGAGCGTAGTCACAGAATGAATGTCCTGGGAGACTTTAACATTTTGATACCTGAAAGTATGCTTAATATAAGCCCGGCGCCAGTTTTGGGGATTTAAATCGATGGCGACTCCTCGAAATAAAATGTGTATATCTCCACAGCAACACGGTGTATTTGGTTACTCTCGGTGTCAAATGAAAGGGAACACTTGTGAGATTTGTCAGGAGGTGTAAATACCTTTCGATGTTTTGTTGTTGAAGAGTAAATAAAGATGGAACACGGCACAGCCAGGGCTGATGCTTTCCTCATTTGCAAGTCAATAGCTTGGTCCCAGATTTCCGCACACAGACAAATGACCCCTCATTGGATTCCTCTCGACCTATAGAATGAGGCTATCGAGGCCTTATTGACAGCATTGTAGACCAATGGCAGTCGAAAAGCACCATGGGGGGAGGGGGGTTTTTGGCCAGCACCAATGTAAACCTGTTTCTATCCAGCCAGAACCCCCCTAACTTAGAAATAATGGTATTTTTCAAACCAATGCCATTTTGTGAGTCAGGAAATGCAGTGTTTGCGTTGGAAAAACTTATTTTTCTGCATAAAAACATCAAAGGTAAGATGAGAAATTTTGCTGTACTTTTCGTGAATCGATGTCTGTTGTTGAAGTTTGTTGGCTTGTATCTCTGTAATGCTTTTACATAGCAATTTTACCGATGCATTTATGGAATCTGTGAAGTGTGGGCTTTATTTAGCGGTGTTTTGATGGATTATAGTCGTTAAAATATGAATTGTATGCCTGGCACAGTGCCCCCTAGGTGACCTGAAATGTTGCTTTATTGTGCTTTATTGCTTTTGCTGTGTTTATTGTGTGGAAAAATGAATGACGTTGTAGCCAAGGTTTCACTGAACATTTTGATGTATACATTGTTGGGGGTCGGTTATCACCATTCACGTAGCATTCCGTGATTTTCCGTTAAGCCCGAGCGGACCCTCATTAGGGTCCGATAGGGTCTATAGATGTCCTTGAAGAGCTGAACATTTTGATAGCTGAAAGTATGCTGAAGTAGAATTTCCCCATTCATTTGAAAGGGGCAAATTTGAAAAATAAAGCTAAATATTTTAAAAGTGTGATGTTTTGAAAAATTGTTAAGAGAACCATGAATGTCCTTGAAGAGCTGAACATTTTGATAGCCGAAATAGGTGAAGGTATGCTTAAGTAAAATTTTACCATTCATTTGAATCTGGGAAACTTTCAAAATAAAGCTAAGTAGAAAAATTTTGAATAGAAGCATGAATGTCTTTGAGCAGCTGATAATTTTGATACTGTATGTATGCTGAATTTGAATATTCCCATTCATTTGAATGGGGCAAAATTTTCAAAATAAAAATAAATATTTCAGAGGTATGAGATTTAGAAAAATTCTGAAGAGAAGCATGAATATGCTTGGAGAGATGAACATTTTCATACCCGAATTAGCTGAAATTATGCTGAGTGTAGAATTTTCCCATTCATTTGAATGGGGCAAAGTTTTCAAAATAAAGCTAAATATTTCTAAAGTATGAAGTTTAGAAAACTTCTAAATAGAAGCATGCATGTCCTTGAAGAACTGAACATTTTGCTACCTGAAATATCTGAAAGTATGCCAAGTGTAGAATTTTCCCTTTCATTTGAATGGTGCAAAAGTTTCAAAATAAAGCTAAATATTTCTAAAGTATGAAGTTTAGAAAACTTTTGAATAGAAGCATGAATGTCCTTGAGGAGCTGAACATTTTGATACCTGAAATAGATGAAAGTATGCTGAGTGTAGAATTTCCCCATTCATTGGAATGGGGCAAAATATCAAAATAAAGCTAAATATTTCAAAAGCATGACATTTAGAAAATCTATGAATAGAAGCACGAATGTCCTGGAAGAGCTGAACATTTTGATACCTGAATGGCTTTGCTAGCTGAAAGTATGCTGAACTTTTTAAAGATGTGAAAATAATCCAATAGGACCCCACAAAGTAGGTAAAACAAGTAGGTGTGAACACATGTTCACACCTACTTGTGTGTGTTCAAAATAAAGCTAAATATTTCAAAAGCATGACATTTAGAAAATCTATGAATAGAAGCACGAATGTCCTGGAAGAGCTGAACATTTTGATACCTGAATGGCTTTGCTAGCTGAAAGTATGCTGAACTTTTTAAAGATGTGAAAATAATCCAATAGGACCCCACAAAGTAGGTAAAACAAGTAGGTGTGAACATGTGTTCACACCTACTTGTGTGTGTTCAAAATAAAGCTAAATATTTTAAAAGTGTGATGTTTTGAAAAATTGTTGAGAAGCATGAGTCCTTGAAGAGCTGAACATTTTGCTACCTGAAATAGCTGAAAGTATGCTGAGTGTAGAATTTCCCCATTCATTGGAATGGGGCAAAACTATCAAAATAAAGCTAAATATTTTAAAAGTGTGATGTTTTGAAAAATTGTTGAGAAGCATGAGTCCTTGAAGAGCTGAACATTTTGCTACCTGAAATAGCTGAAAGTATGCTGAGTGTAGAATTTCCCCATTCATTGGAATGGGGCAAAACTATCAAAATAAAGCTAAATATTTTAAAAGTGTGATGTTTTGAAAAATTGTTGAGAAGCATGAGTCCTTGAAGAGCTGAACATTTTGCTACCTGAAATAGCTGAAAGTATGCTGAGTGTAGAATTTCCCCATTCATTGGAATGGGGCAAAACTATCAAAATAAAGCTAAATATTTTAAAAGTGTGATGTTTTGAAAAATTGTTGAGAAGCATGAGTCCTTGAAG